CCCCCAAAACAAAAGAATAAAAAAAAATCGACAAAGCAATAAAAATTGCCAAGCAAATCTGCAAATGTATGTATGTATGTACATGTACGTATCTGCATGCATGTGAGGAGGATGTAATTTAAGAGCCTTATCATTATATTAGAGCCCATGCATTTTTTATTTTAAATACCGTGTTTAATTATCTATGTGTTGCCCATTTAATTGTCCGTTTCTCCATACGGACAATTGGGTTAAATACAAATGGGCCGATGGCTAAAATAGCAGCGGCGGACGGCTCATTGCCGATCGGCCAATGAACTGTAGAATTTTTAGAAACCTGACTCCGATATAATGGTAAAATTTAGAATGAGGTAGGGTTAGCTAGACTAGGCCATAAAATACTTGGATTAGCGCATATTAAAAGATTGAATCTAATCAATTATTTAATTCAACTAAAAAACTTTATATATACCCATTTATTTTTTTTCTTTAAGTTTCGATATGAATACTATCTTTAACGATGAAACAAGAAAAATGATAATGTGAGAGGGGATGAGGAGATCAGAGCGAAAGTGTGCCCCATTCTAAAATCTAAATGCTCTTATGACATAAAAGTAAGTACGGAGTATTTATAAAGTGATGATCATGATATACAGGACAAAACATTGTGTATTGCTTTTGTAATTACCGTAGTAGTGTAGAACACCCCACACATTTCAAGACTATTTCAATTCAACGCATTTCACGTTTTAAAAGTTAACACTTTTTATATTCTACACATGCATTCCTAATCTTTTGTACTTTTTCCCACTAGAAATATTCTTGGTGTGTTCACTTGGCATTATATTCTTATTAAGAAAGAGCAAAATAAAAAATGTCTAAGTTTTCAAAATTGCATGTACTATAAATTTTTTGAGCTTCTTTTCCTATTAAAAAATAAAAAATTAGATTATGATAAAGTAGAAGAATATTATTGAAATTTTTCATTAAAAATTAGACTAAAAAGGAAATGGAAAGAATATTTCCGGGCGGATCAAAAAGGAAAATGAGAAGAACATTTTCGAACGTACGGAGGGAGTATTTGATGTACCCTGACTTTTTCTAGTTGTAAGAAGTGTTCCGTTCCAAATTTAGTTGTCAACATATCTTCCAAGCTGTTGGGGTTGTTGCTTTAGATCTTGTTCTCCTGGTGTGAAACTAGATGGTTCCATAGTTTTAGACTTCTGTTGATCCCAAGTACAACTAGGCTATTTCCCTTCTCATGGATCCGTACGTGGACGTTACCGCTCATACAGCTCCTAGCCAGCAAGCAGTTAGCCTTCCCATTCCTTGAAAGCCGGTGAATACTAGAGCCAGTGAAACGGTAGCTACTCAAGCGTAAACTGAGAGAGTTTAATTTGCTCTACCTAACTCCTTCTTCGAGCAACTCTCATTGGTCGAATGAGTTTCATTGTGTGGCAGGGAAATGAGTTTGGTAGGCCAACAACCCAGTGAACCGGGCAGGGCACACTGGAGGAAAAAATACGTATTCGTTTATCTTAGTTCAGTGAATCGAGAGGTCTGCCTGCGGATTTAGGCCGGTGCTCATGACACACTACGAAACCTCCATGGTGACGGGGGTTGCTAGGCCGGCTGTTAGGTCCAAAGTTATGGTGCCGATAGATTCACTACTTTGGATACGCAGCTAGATCGATTCCCAACACTCTTTGGATACGAGCGAGCACCTCTCAAAATTGATTATGTTACGATACATGGCGGTGTATCTTATACGGAGTAAATAGTACTCCCTTCGTCCCAATTTATAGTGCATGTTTCAGTTTACGATATCTGACTGAAATTATTTTTAAATCACTTTATATGACAAATGGTTTAGAGTTCAACAAAGAAAAATTACATATTAAAATACTACATAAAAAGATCTACAAAACTAGTAGTGACAATAATACTTTATTTTATCAAATTGCTGACGAAAATAGAAAAAGAAAGCGAGTGAAATTTGACCCTGTGAATAGTAAACAAGCACTTGAGAATTGGAGTGAAACAAAAAAATAAAATTTACATATTAAAAAACTACATCAAAAGCTATATAGAACAAGGGGTGACATGACTATATTATTTTATTAAATGAGCAATCAAAATAGAAAAATATGAATAAAATTTGAATTTAAAAATAGTAAATGTACAATTTAATTTGGGAGGCATGGAGCATCATTTATTATGCCTATTGTCATAAATGAATATTAAGTTTTGTTCTATCAAGAAATTCTATATTTTATAAAAGAATAAAAAAATTATTTTTTATATTTTTGGGATGGATGGTGACAAAGGATAGCGTGTCATCCTTTTATATATTCTCTAATCTCTATGTTCATTGTTCAACATGGATGCTCTCATTTTGACTTTTCACAGTATTTTAGGAGATGTATAAAATGGAAAACGGTAAAAATAACATTCTAGAAAGTAGGTGGAATATGTTTAATGAGATAGATGAGATGTGATAAATAAAATAAGTGAAGATAGTAACATTATTTATGGAGTAATTGTTAAAACGGCCCGGTTCCATGGCCACTAGAATCCAGTGGCCA